TTATTTGTAAGAGATTGTTTTTTGTTTTTTTTTTTTGCGCTGAAGATAGATGATTTCCCCTGACTATTCCAGTAACAAAGACTGATTTCATTTTAATTTAAATTAATTAGTAAGATTGAAAAACTGTGTAATTTGTAGTCTAGCCTATTCTGGAAATCTGCAAACATATAGGATCGTTACTGAAAAATCTCATCAATTCAAATAAGGGTTAACTGTGCAGATAAACGTTTATCTTTAAGTAATTTAAGTCTTAGTAACAGAACGGTCAAAGTATAAATTTCTGTTCGCCAGTTTTTTGTATTTATCTGAATGCAAAGATACATTTTCTTTTTTGATCCGTCCAAGAGATTTAGCTTTAACATCAATTCTTGAGACCTGTGCAGTAAAACCCCTGAGTAAAGCAACATCTGTGCCTGGCAGGACAAAGCACAGGGACTGAATTAAGATTGTATCTTACAAAAAAAGTCTAGGACGCGAAGGAATTTATAAAATCCTTCTAAAAGATACTCCATTGCTGATCAATTCAATGTATCATTACATACACGTACTTGATGGCTTTAATATTCTTATTACCTTATGTGGCTTTCATAAGGATAATTTTCATTTTTAATTTGCGAGAGAATTATTTATTGCCGTAAATTTTATGGGGACACTGGAAGGTTGCAAGATATGAAATAAGTAGAACTTGCAAAACCAAGACTTAATGTGCTTTAAACTAAAAGTAAGGACAGAAATATTAGAGACTTATACGAATGCATAAAAGAATTGCTTCCAACCGCGTTTAAGATATATTATTAGGGATATCAAATTAAGGAGGATGCATGCAGCAAGAATTGAAGAGATAAAAATCTGTACATTTTAGTCGGAATATCTGAAAGTAAGGTATTACTTGAGATACCTGGGCATAAATATATGAAGATTATAATAAGATGGAGCTTAAGGAAATATACCTATGGTGTGATGGTGTGGGCTGGTTTCATGTGGCTCGACTTACGATCCAGTTTAGGGCTGTATTTTACTTGGTAATGAATCTTCGCTTTGTATAAAAGGCAGGGAAGATTGACTAGTCTATTTATCCGTGTTTGACCGTAGCGCCTTATCTATATACTGTACATAAATCTTACAACAAATACTACCGCTTAGAGTAAGTGCACTTCCTATTCATGGAGAGGACGCAGCATCAATTGAGAAGAGTAGGAGGAGACTGGATCTCTGTTCTTATGATCTAACATCGTATATTGATTATCATATTTATGAACCATACGACATGAAGACAACAGAGCCATATTCGTATCTGTTCGTATGTGCTCTGAATAGAGTAGGTTCGTTGAAGTAGTATTCCTTATTTCTTTTGAATTTTAAATTTTACCGCCATTTTAAAAGTTTTATTTACCAAGAGCATTGTTAGGAACAACACTCGACAACATTAGGTGTATAATGTGTTTATTAAAAAATTCCATTCGCCCAATTATGTAATGACACGGAGCGGAAAAAAACAAAATTTGCTCAAGTCATATTTTTCGGTAATCATGTTCTTGCGACCACGTTGAAACACTCAAACTGTGTAGTAAATTAACAATAGTCTTATGGTACAATCTAAACCACTATGGACGTTATTAAAACTATACTTAAAAGTAACCTAAAGGATTTATACTAGACGAAGGGCCTCTTTTATTTGTAAGTACATTGAAAGAACCGCAATTATTCATGTGATGCCATTTAAAGGGAAGCACAGTAATGGTACCATTTTTGGACGTTAATTAAACGTTGGAGTATTTTATTGCTAATTTAATTACTTGCGGCTTGATCTTATGTATATAATTTGAGAAAGTATATAAAGAAAATGTGACGAATATGAATATTTGTGGACCCTAAATCCATAATTTGTAGGTCATCACAAATCTGGATAGTCAGTTATGTATAAATATCTCTTCCAAACTCAGAAATATTACAATATTAACAGTTTTCTTATGGGCTGTGTGTAAGAGTGCTACAATCTGACAGGTTTTGAACTTGTAGAATAAAGAATGACTACGAACATAGTAACCAACTACTTTTAATGACGTGTTGGTACCATATGCTTAACTTTAGATACTAATTAGTGGTATTTTTCATGAAACAGACTGTAGTTGCAAGAACTGTTTGCGAAATGAGAAGTCCCTATAGCACGTAGCAAGTGATCCAGTAATGCAGTGAACTGAGAAACAGTCTAAATGTCTGTGGATTGCATTCACCAGTTCGTAACAAACCCAACAACGTCTGTGACTTTTATTGCCGGAGTTCATAACTTCATGTGAAGGCGAGCGACCGGATTAAAGAGACCATGGGACGGACCAAGTAGTTCTCTCTTTCTCGTGTGCTACCATTTCAGTTACCCCGTACACTGAAAAAACGTTCAAGAATATATGATACTTCGTGACCGTGGTAAAACTTACATAACAAAATGTTTCACGTTTCTACCAGAAATATCGGTACATTGCTCCGTTAGAATTTTTATTGTTTGTAGAAACAGTTTGTAATAGCTAATAAATTACGAAGACATCGTACGCATTAAATTCAATTTTTCTTACTCCAGATCTTCTGTTCACTAAAATAATCTTGTGAACGTGTTCAGGAGTTGTCAGCCGAAACCAACTACACTTACTCTTTCGTATTATTCTTATGTCGTTTCAAACTCTTGAATACTTGTCAGCCGAAACCAACTACACTTACTGTTTCGTATTGTTCTTATGTCGTTTCAAATTCTTGAATAAAAACTCGAATAGGTCATCGCGTCTTCCCATCACGACCTCTTTAATTCATCACTCGCATTAACAGTCATCCTCCTAACAGACGTTATATGGCGCATTTAGCTGAGAAAGCATCGGTAAGTAAATTAAGAAGAAATAATCCACTTACGTGTTTAACGAGATTGGAAATGTGCACACCGTACCGAAATACGGAAAGTCTTTCACGGTACGTTCTATGCACTTTCGCACTCTGAACCCTCCTAGCTGTTCCCGAATACATTTGTTAAAAATATTGGCGTGTTATACACAAAAAATAACAGGATTCTGTTGCAGTTCAGCTTACACTGTTACTGTCATTAAAAAGATAGGGACGTAAGTTTAAACGTTAAACGTTGTCTTTCTACTTTAATGTTTCATTTGTTTCCAGATACTAATTGTTAACAGGCGTATTTTAGAGGACCCCCGTCATTAAAGGTTAACCCAGAGGCAGCATTGGGGAGGGGAGACTTTTTATTAAATGACAATTAATTTGTACTGTTCTTGTGTTCCGATCGTGACTATTAACTGGCAAAAAGCAATCATTGTAATACGCCACGCAACTTGTACTGCAGGCCTGATATACTTTTATAATCCTGCAATCTCAAACCAGCAGCTGCATCTCTTCGGCAGTTCACAATTGATTTATTTTTTGTTTCTTAAAACATAAAAAGTTACAACAGTTTTCTTGCTAGCGTATGTGAAGTGGGTGCATGATCAGCTTATTCTTTTTTCAAGAAAAATGAGCCAGCAGACGGCGTTAAGATGCCAGAGCCGCCATCAAGTGTCACACTGTCTTTGTCAGTGTGACAGCCCTTCTGCTACTTTAGTCAAGTATGAAGATAAACGCCTTTCGAAACTTAATACTTACAGTGGCGTCCCCGGTAACTGTCGCATTACCACGAGTAGGAGGATGAAGAACATAATTTACACCTGTGTAAGAAAGAATACGGTCAGGTCTCGTACTTTTAGTTTTAGCGGGTGACTTCGTTCTGCTATTAGGTACTGAATATCGACACCAATAAAAAATGTTATCACGTTGTTCAGGAATTTTTTGTTGTTAATTTTGACGAAGTTTTGATAAAATGGAGTCGTTTTAAAAATGGGGAAATTTCTCGTCGCTTAGGGCAGTATTCAGACATGTGAAGGCCTTGACATATGCTGGTTTCATTTCAGCAACCTCTCCAGGGGAGGAATTCATCTTGTCTTCCTTTTCCTTTGAAATACAGTAACTCCGATCATTTCGTGTAATACTTTTTCCAGACGTGTGCTCAAACCAAGTTTCCATCCTCCATGCACGGC